CAGACTTTTAATGGAAGAATTAACTGGGTCTTGAGCCTACATGGACCACGGTTCGAATCCTCCGTTTTTTCTTGCTTATTAATATGTCTTCTATGATACAACACCAAAAAAAAAAATGTATATATTGATGCATTAGAGATAATTATCGAAAATATCTTTCAGTTTTTCCTGACTATCTCTACCTGGACACAGAAATGAAAGAGAAGACACAGGTAAATAATTAATATATCAACGTTTCGCTCGATGTAGAGCTTTATCTAATCAAAGATAAAGTTAACGAAGCTCTATATGCAGCTAGTTATACACTTGTTGTTTTCTTATCCTAGTTATATATAAATATATATACTGCATATACGTATATATATATATATATATAATATATATAATTATATATATATAAATATATAAATATATATAATATATATATATAAAGGAGGGGTTTGGGATATTGGCAGTTTGGAGGGATATGTTGTGTATCTCTATACGTATATGCTTCTAAACTGTTATATTCTGAGCACCTCTGCAAAAGCAGTGATAATGTGTGAGTGTGGTGAAAGTGTTGAATGATGATGAAAGTATTTTCTTTTTGGGGATTTTCTTTCTTTTTTTGGGTCACCCTGCCTCGGTGGGAGACGACCGACTTGTTGAAAAAAAAAAAAAAAAATAATATATATATATATATATATATATATATATATATATATATATATATATATATATATATATATAACTAGGGTGGGATATTAAACCAAATTATTTTGTTTTTTTTATTAAGCTAATTTTGAAGTTATTATTTTTGTTGTTTTTGTTGTTGTTATTATCATTATTATTAATACTAATAATATTATTATTACTGCTGTAATTATTAACATTATTATTTTTAATTATATTATTATTATTGTTATTATTATTATTATTATTATTATTGTTATTATTATTATTATTATTATTATTATTATTATTATTATTATTATTATTATTATTATTATTATTATTATTATATTATTATTATTATTATTATTATTTTCATGAGACGGAACCTAAAAAATAGAAGTTATTAATAATAATAATAATAATAATAATAATAATAATAATAATAATAATAATAATAATAATAATAATAATAATAATAATAATAATAATAACAATAAAAGTAACAATAATAATAATGAAAATAATAATATTAATAATATTTCTTTCATTCAATCCATGACGTCATCACAAAGAAAAAAATAACGTTCATTATTTATTGTTTTTGTTAAATGTGTTTGTTTATTACGTCAATTATTGCCTTAGTTTATTGCGTTAATATATTTGTTTGTTATTAAATCCAGATGAAGAACAGCTGAGATGCTGTTCTTGTTTTTATATGTGTTATTCATCTTTGTTATATACACATAGATCGCTGGAGAGAACGTAAGTGTTCTCTCGTTGACAAGTGAAAAAGACTTTAGCATGGTTGACTCTGTTGCAAAAATGTTTAACTCGTATTTTTGTTGCTTGATGAGATGTTAAAAACAGTGGTGATGGTGATGTTAAAAACAGTGGTGATGGTGATGTTAAAAATAGTGGTGATGGTGATGTTACAAACAGTGGTGATGGTGATGTTACAAACAGTGGTGATGGTGATGTTACAAACAGTGGTGATGGTGATGTTAAAAGCAGTGGTGATGGTGATGTTAAAAACAGTGGTGATGGTGATGTTAAAAATAGTGGTGATGGTGATGTTACAAACAGTGGTGATGGTGATGTTAAAAACAGTGGTGATGGTGATGTTAAAAGCAGTGGTGATGGTGATGTTGAAAGCAGTGGTGATGGTGATGTTAAAAACAGTGGTGATGGAGATGCTAAAAACAGTGGTGATGGTGATGTTAAAAACAGTGGTGATGGTGATGCTAAAAACAATGGTGATGGAAATATTGAAAACAGTGGTGACTTCAGGTAAGGTTTGTCAGGAAAGAGGACAAGCGTTTCTTGACGCGGGTCTTAGTTATATCATGACCCACAGCTGGAGCTTTTCGTCATCCGTCCGAGGACTTCCGCTGGCTTAAGTCTCCACCTCTAAAAATCATGGTTATGATTATAACCATTTGGTGGTGATTGTGGCGAGGTAGATAGGAAGGGATAAGAGGTACCGAAGCAGGTTTACTGGCCTTTGGTATGAACCTTGGTAATAGATACCCACATATTGCTTTAGAAAGACACGTGAGCATCACTAAAACATGTTAGAAAACTCCTTTTGAACCTCCGTATGTTAGAAGTGATCAGGGTCCCAGGACCGAAACGTTTTCCGATAAATACATTCTAGTGTTTGCTTATGTGTCTTTCTAAACCAACTGGCCCTTTGCTATCCATGGTCTTTCTCGGGATACAGCAGGATACTGCAGGATACTGCAGGATACTGCCGACAGTTCTCAAGGCAAGACACAGACGGAAAGTAAAAATAAGCATTTACCGCGACAACATTTCGCTCCGTGTAGGGTGAAACACCGTGTCTTTTTCCTTTCGTTCGGGACGTACTCACGGCCGCCTGTTTCCCCTCACCAACTTGGCTAACCTATTTCCAGAGACTGTTAAAGCATTTCATTCCATTACGTGGGATTTTAAATTCACTCATTAACACCTCTACTCTCACATTAGGAACTTCTTTCATTATTTCTCAAAGTAAATTTATCTAGCCTGAACTCATTGTTGCCGTATGAATTAGATAAAATATTTTGAGTACTTTATATATATCCTCCCTTATTTATATCCCCATTTATTCCTTTTTTCCATTTGTTTATGTTATTTTCTTTTCATAATCTGATGTTTCTCCTGCAAATGTTTCTAATGATATTTATTATGATTAGACTCAGACGCTAATACCATTGGTTATTGTGTATCCTAAATCCATCCTCTGGGCGGTAGTGGCTAGTTTATTGTGCATTCCATATTCTACCTGTGGACGGTAGTGGCTAGTTTATTGTGCATTCCATATTCTACCTGTGGACGGTAGTGGCTAGTTTATTGCGCATTCCATATTCTACCTCTGGACCGTAGTGGCTAGTTTATTGTGCATTCCATATTCTACCTGTGGACGGTAGTGGCTAGTTTATTGTGCATTCTATATTCTTCCTGTGGATGGTAGTGGCTAGTTTATTGTGCATTCCATATTCTTCCTGTGGATGGTAGTGGCTAGTTTATTGTGCATTCCATATTCTACCTGTGGACGGTAGTGGCTAGTTTATTGTGCATTCCATATTCTTCCTGTGGACGGTAGTGGCTAGTTTATTGTGCATTCCATATTCTACCTGTGGACGGTAGTGGCTAGTTTATTGTGCATTCCATATTCTTACCTGTGGACGGTAGTGGCTAGTTTATTGTGCATTCCATATTCTTCCTGTGGATGGTAGTGGCTAGTTTATTGTTCACCTCATAACCATCCTGTGAGCGGTAGTGGCTAAGTTACACCGCGTAGCTATTTTTTGATGATAGTGGCTAGTGTATTGTGTACACTATAACCATCCTGTGGATGGTAGTGGCTAGTTTATTGTTCACCTCATATTTGATTCATTTATATGTGAATATATATTTCACTTATGTTTTATCTTTCACATGTAATTTTTGGATACTGCGAAGATTTTGGTATTTATCTCATATTCTCATCCTCTTCGTCGGGCACATTCATGATGGAATGTCTCTAGATTGGTATGCGCAATTTGCATTGGTGCGACACTATGACCTGAAGAGGGTCCCAGAGGTCGAATATACAGTACATTAATCTAAGTTTTGTTTCCATGTGGTTATTGACGAGTATTGCAAGTGTTTTGTCACTTTAGTTCTTCACTGATTAGGACGTTTATCTAGGTAACGCTTCGCCCAACGTCAGTTCCACCGTCTGAATTAACGTTAGTTTGTCTTCGTTTGTGTATATACAAAAGTGAAAGAAAAAATGTAATGTAAAGAGAAATTTCTCAGATATTTTTCTGTATTATAACTGTGTCAAAAACAGCGGTGACGAGCGGCCATACAATAGACCAATTTTTGAGAACTTCAGTTTAAAGCAAACTTTCAGAAATCTTCTCGAAAATCAAAACGAAAATTAAAAAAAAATCATGATATGAATTGTTTTCATTGTGTTATAAAGAAAAAAAACTTCGACCACCAGATATGAAAAAAAAGACGCAGGATTCATGAAATCAAGAAGCATAGAGAAAATAAGGTGCAAATACCATAACCAGGACTTTTTAAGCTGAAAATTATCACGCATAAATTTGTCTTAGTCATGAATCACCTCCAAGGTTTATTATGGGAGTTACTGACGGTGTTATTCCTCTGTGTAACATTAAATACGATGTATGTCACTGATATAACGAGGTGTAATTCACTGAGGTGTAGTGGCGGCTCGGGTGAGCAGTAAAGCATTAAGTAAAGTGAAACTCTTGCGAGTGTGCAAAATCGTGTCCCAAAATAATAAAGGAAACATTACGGAAGCAATAAAATACTAAACACTACTAAACGTTTTCCATATCGCTGGAATGAAATCATGGAAGGTATACAACGAGTCAGTCTTCCAGTATTTCAACAGAGAAAATGGTATAAACACTAGTTTTTATCCCCACAGGAGTTTGAAAAAGGAAACCATGAAATGTTTTCATGATCTGGAAATCCGTCATGACGACACAATCCTTTTTCCCCTTTATCGTAAAATAGTAAAAGTGGCACAGTAGTTTCTTTATATAACAGTAGCAGTGTGAACAATTAATCAAGAAGTGGTAATTGTAGCCTTGTCACCCGTGGATGTCTCTTCTAAAGTCATCACTGAGACTAAGTGCCAGTCACAAACCTAATACAACTAACGATTAAGATTATCATTGAGATCGAGACACCTGTCGACGGCGAACACAAAACAGGGAATAAAGTTGCACTGGAAAAGAACAAGGAAATAATCAAGAGGTAGAGGGCAGAGGCTTCTCCCTCTCTTGTGAACATTGTGTGTAACACAGGTGAGAGGAACCTACCAGGGACTTTCGGTCCATCTTGGGCCAGAAGAGGTCAAAACAAGTGGCTGCAGTAATCACTGTCCCTCAGGGAGCTGCCGTCTCACACGGTATATACTAGTTCCTCACTTAAGAGCTCCACATATCTGGTTTCACCTTGGCCAAAAGACAAACTCTTGAAAATCACCACGAACTTTTCACTATCACACAGCGCCACGTTCTTCACTACACTTTGTATAAACATCCTCGAAGTATTCTCCAAATTCGGCAAAAATCACCAATTAATTTTCCCGTAGATGTAAAACCAGGTTATAAAAAATTGTTGCAAGGCACTGTCTAAGTGTTGCAGGAGGAAGTTAAGACTGGGGTTAGTGTCTAAGAAAACATCACAGGGTCACCGTCTGTCGGCGTGGGGCCGGCACCACGGTAGGCAGAGCCTCATCACCGCCACCAGCACACCGGCGATCACCAGCACAAGGCGAGTGTAACACTGAGGAGGGGTAGCAGCACCTGCAGCCTGCACACGCAACAACTGCTGAGCCCCACCATGGTTGACGCCGCCCTCGCACAACGCCCCGCCGGCGGCTACTCGTTCAGTACACTCTCGCTGCTTCCCACACACACGCACCCTCGCGCGACACCATACTACCAACTACGTTTCAGATTGTCATGTCAGTCGCAGCTGGTGTTGCACGGCCCCTCGCAGCTGGTAGTGTCGCTCTCATGGACCTGCTACCAACGAGACAACACATACACTCAACCCAGCCGCCGCTAGACTAAGCCTCGACCCTCAACGCCGATATGATATCCCCGCCGTAACTATAATTGCAATCTGGGAGCCAAGGTAGTAATTTGGGCGGCAGCAAGTTCTCCGCTTGTGGTGGCCGGTAAGGGGGGTAACCCGCGGCAATGGTGCTGTGGATGAACGTACTCCCAGGGCAGAGGACGGGGTCACAGCGCCCTGCTACGCTCCTCTACGGACAGGGGACACCACCAAACTCCTACACTATCATACTTACAAGGCCTCCTTTCTCCGTGGTGTAAATGTCCGTCCGATTGGCAATATTTAGATCGGTGAGCATCATTGATGCAGGATGGTCAAGCAAATCACCAATCGCAAGATTAGGTCACAAGGGGTCACAATATGACTGGAGAGGTCACTCTAATGATAGTCCACTGCTGCCTGATTACAGTGGTTACAGGTGTGATTACCAGGTAGACCAAACAATCACCATACTTAGGGCGCAACAACTGCCTCACGACAGACCAAGTACTCAACTTACACTGATCTGGTACAAGTTATCACTCGGCAGCTGAGCGGGCTGGCCGGGGCGGGGCGTAGGGCGGTATGCCCCGCCCCTGTGCGCCGCATGCGACGCTGGCGGGGCGGCTGCTGTGGCAGGTGCCAATGGTGGCAGCCCAAGATCCCCGAGTGACGGCTTCCCCGCCCCTTGAATCACCAGCCCCGCCCATCACGCCCACCCGCCCCAACCACTGCCATCTATCGGACATCCCGCACACCACACTTCTTTACAACTGCAGAAATGCGTGGACCGCGGTTTGGACGTGAAAATAAGGGGTTAGCTAGCTGCTATGACGGCAGCACGTATTAAATAATGGTAGTCACTTGTTGGATCCGTCCTCCAGTCTTTCATTATGCATATTTGAACAAGCACTTGGGATGACTAACACCACCAGAGAGCGTTAATTGGTGATACTAACACGTGTGGGATGACGGAGGCGCTGTAGCGAGGTGCCACCCTTCAGTACCCAGCCAATTTGAGTTAAGTGAAACCTAGCATCACCTCGACGCCTTCTGTAGGGACACCCGTCTTTGGGGAGCTCCTCGCCTCCTCCTTGGGGGTTTAAATAACGCCTGCTGACGACTCAGGGCAAGGGGAAAGACGCTGGGGGAGGAGGAAGAAGAGAGGAAGGAAGCCGTGGCAGATGAAGTTTTGAGGGAAGGTTCATCACACAGTCACTCACAGGGAGAGACACAGCTCACCCACTATCTTGACCTAAGCATCCCAGCATCCACACATCTCCTTCAGGACCCAGCATCTCACACCTCCTTCAGGACCCAGCATTCCACACCTTTAGCACCCAGCATCCCACACCTTCAGGTCCCAGCATCCCACACCTTCAGGACCCAGCATCTTACACCTCCTTCAGGACCCAGCATCTCTCACCTCCTTCAGGACCCAGCATCCCACACCTCCTTCAGGACCCAGCATCCCACACCTTCAGGACCCAGCATCCCACACCTCCTTCAGCAACAAGCATCTCTCACCTTCAGGACCCAGCATCCCACACCTCCTTCAGCACCAAGCATCTCTCACCTCATTCAGGACCCAGCATCCTACACCTTCAGGACCCAGCATCCCACACCTTCAGGATCCAGAATCCCACACCTTCAGGACCCAGCATCCTACACCTTCAGGACCCAGCATCCCACACCTTCAGGATCCAGAATCTCACACCTTCAGGACCCAGCATCCCACACCTTCAGGATCCAGAATCT